ACTTGCGTCATTTAGAGGCAATTTCCAAGTTTCGCAAGAAGGCCTGCAGTTGACGTTAACTGCTGAGAAAACCAAACCTCTTCAGGTGCTAGAGAGTGACATTAATTCAATTTAAAGGGAAGAACAAAAAGGCATCATGTTGGTAACTTTGCCTTAATTAATGCTAATAGGGTCATTTGGGGCGGTTACATAGGACTGCATACTGCATAGGCTAATAATGCTGAACATTGTTGTGTAATTGAGACGTGAATTCCGCTTTTAGTAATTAATGAAATTGTTACCGGGAATGTAACAAAATAATTGAAGGTTGCTATTTGGATAATTTAGTTTTCGGAAAAATGTGTAATAAATCATATTAGCAGAATTAATCTTCATTAAACGTTGCAGTAATTTCGGTAAAGTTTTATCGATAAAGCTTCCGTAAGGCTTTATAAAGCCGTAACGAACGGTTATATCAAATTTGTGGACGTCAGCCATTTGCAAAATTAAAAAAGTTTTTATTTCACTCAAAATAATAAATTTGCCACCCGTCTCTGTAGTGAAAAAGATTTTTATTGAACGTAAAAGAAATAAAATAAAGTAGAATTACAATGCGGCCTGCGAGTGACGTCAGGAAAAATGTTGTTGTGTTTACGTATGTCACGATGGAAACTACGTGAATTTTTTTCCTGAAACTTGCAGCGAATTTTAAACGAAAATTGTGTCGCTATGATCATTTTATTTTTACATTTTCAGGAGATGATTTAATTTTCGTTTTCGAAACGTTAACTGAATGCTGTATTGGAGTCAGTTCAAAGATGTATATTTCAGAAATTTTTTATCTTTCGCAGTTCATAGAATACAAACACTCAAGTTTCCTAGATTCTCTAAAACTAACCTGAAAGTGGTAAGGTGCTAAACATAACGTATCTTTTCGTTTTTATCCTTCTACTGTCTACGAATTTGTGGAACACTTGTGCTGTTTAGGTTAAATCACCCAAAGGAAAAATAAATATATATTTCTTTAATGCGATACTTTATGTTTAACGAATTATTAAATTTTAACACTGACAAATTTTATAAAAATACTTTACTACGCGGAATACAATATTTTTATTTATTATTTTTAAAAAATTCGCTGTGACGTTCGAGGCGCTACACCAACTGTGTTATAAACTGATGATTTTGAAACGGCTGAAGTAATTATCATCAATCACAGCTAAGAACATCAACTAACATCAAGACATAAGCATTTAATTCCAGTTGCGAAATTTTTCGAAAGTTTTAGACCTACATTTCTTTGTGAACATTTTATTTATCATTATTTTCTAGTAACAATTGGGTTAAAAAATAAAGATGTTTAACAGTCGTTTTGGCGCACTCACTCAAGAACTGCACTCACTGATTTCTCCATTAAGAACATTGTTGTTTTCTCATTAAATATTACATCAGACTGTGAGATAATTGAATTTATTAGTATCAACCCAATGAAACACGGTAACGCGACGAAGTACTGAGTAATTTACAGCTGAGATCATCAACCATATTAAGACTAATGGAGTGTTGCTAGAGATATAAGACTTAATGGTACCTTTATTACATGAACTTTTAAAAAGTATTAGTCCTTGCGGAGTTTTTTAATTCGAGTTAAAAGATAAGATACATTTTAAGAAAAATAAGCCTATAAATAAAGTTATAAGAAAAGATAAAGTCAAATACTGACACAGTACAATCATATTATATACCTTTAAAAGTTTTATTTTTGCTTAGTAAGACTGAGAAATCGATTTTTATTTTTATTCTCATTTCCGAATAATACAAGTTAGGAGGGTATTGTATTATATTATAAACATTAACTAAAATTAATTAACGTACCTTACAAAAAGTTTGAATAAATAAGGAATATTTAACACAATTTTAACGAAAGAAATTATAAAAAGTATCAACAGTTATATCAACAGTTAATCAGAAATCGGTTACTAAAACATCTACTAAATTTTTATCTTCACGGTAGCATTGGTTTATTGCTTAAATAAATAATTGAAGAATAAATACTATGGTTTTGCACTTTGTATCTTTACATATTCAAATACAATTTCGCAAAAGATAATAGCAGGGTTTTCATTTTATAGATACTACAATATCCGGACAGAATTCCCCAACTATTCCTGTAATTGTCAAATATGATACTGATGCCCTAGAAATTAAGTGTACTTCAAAGTATAACAACGCGATTCAGTATTGATGAAAGAATTCTAAACAGTATGAAGCGTATTAAATTAAAGCTATCGTTTCCAGAGTGAAGAAGATACGTAATTATCCCAGCGCATCCACCAAATTTGTGTTGATAAAATATGATTTACTTGCTATATTTACTCAAAAGGAAATGGTTTTTCTCAAGTTAGGGGTGGTCATATGAAACGAATTTAAATATGAAATTGAGTGTAATGTAAACAATTTTAAAAATTCTCTTTTAAGTAAAGTTGGATGATTTTTTTGGCGTATTTTCCAGTATATAAGTATATGTCTAGTGGCTCACTGAGAAGTCATTTATTTGATAGTGGGCGCAAATGGTGTATGTATGGTGGAACATTGGTCCCAATGGTATTGTGCTGTCGGAATTAAAAGGAAATTAGTAGGCAATCAATAAAAATAAATAGATTAATATGTACAAAACATTCAGTTTTTAACCACGCCATTAAGGAATTCGTGCAAATAAAAGAGTATTAGTTTATATTACACAGTATAATTATAACATTACTGACTTACCCGAGCTTTAAGGAAATAAAAAGAAACGTTTCTGAAATAATCATGAAATGGAGTGAATAAAACAAATCATTGTTAAGTTGTTTCAAAGAAAAATTGAAAAATTTCAAAGTCAAAATAGACCAGTTTTAGACAGCGTTTTTCTATATTTTAAAAAAGTTTTTGATAGACAGCCAGATGATTACGGGAAACACATATTTTTCTTTTTATAAACTACAGTCCTTAAAATGTTGCTTAACTACGAAAATTATTTCGAAAAATAAATGCTCTCGATATTTCAGTTTACTTTTAGCTGGATTCTTGTAAATTGGTACATTTTATAAGATAAAGTTCTTTCTTTTTTCCTCGTCTTTATTAAAGATGTTTCAATTTTTGATATTATTATATTTTACTATTTGGAACTTTCAAGTTGACAATCTACACTATATGTCCAAATTATTTTTGAAAATGAGATACATTTGTGAACAATATTTCCTTTTTGTTCAGAATTTTTTACCTAGTCAGCATGGACATCGTAAAATTTTTTTAGGGAATGGACTAAAATTTAATTAATTAAGTTAAAAGCAAAACGGGCTGAATGTAATTTTGAGCGAGCTGTCATTATAATTTAAATTTTCGAAATAATGGAATCGATCTTGATTTGTAGCAAAAAAAAGAAAAAACTAATTGAACGAAAATAAACTAAACAATTAACAAATATAATAATAAACAAAACCAAGGTAAATTCGTAAACCACAAGTACAAAAGTATAATATTATTTCATAAAATTTAGTAATGTTAATTACGCAATATACTGAGCGAAAGTCATCAAATTGTTCATGGGGATATTAACCAAATTCTGGTTTACTATCTACATGACATTCCTAATATACGTACAAAATTTGATAACAATCTGTCAATCGTTTCTTGGGTTACTCTCGGGAAATAAAAGTATATGAAAAGAGGGACTAAAATTTTCTTCCTATAAACTCTTAAATACAGAAACCACATGATTACTATGTTAGGAGAATACTGTAATAGGATCTAACGGTTAATTATATATTTCATTGCATTTGAAAAAGAACGCCTCCCTTCGTATTCGTAAATTTTGCGCGACATATACATATATGTAATATGGTTCTATACTTCTAATATGTTAATTTAATTCGCTATTATTCGTTAATTCGAAGATTATCTATGTAAGGTTTGGAAAAAAAAACAATTTTTTTTACAAAATTTTAGAGTTTAATTTAGAAATTATAAATTTGATAACTTTAGAAGTTTTGTACACGTTTTAGATTATCGTGAAAGTAGTAAAGCGATAATTAAAATTCATTTGTTCGTTCCTTGCAGCAATTGAATAACGTCATCTCAAAATTTCGCTAAGTAAATTTTACTAAAAAGAATTTTTGGTGGAAAATGCTTTGTCTGTGCTTTAATAATACATCCATATTTTTTTATTATTTATATTAATTGTTGACACAAATTTTAAACTTTCATCTAGCTGTTTTCCGTTAATAAAAAAAAAATGATTGAAGGTTAATTCGATAGAACTTTCCTCGCTCCTGTAGTACAATAAAACATATCCAGCTTCAGGGTCATGAAACGTCGAGAAAATATGAAATTAGCAAGTCGCCAAGTGATAGAATTTGGAAAACTTGCATACTTATTGAAATAAAATAAACTTGATTTATTTTTTTAAAGAATCCTGCAAAGCTGAATTCGCAGATCCTTAGTTAATGATAACAATGTACAACAGAATTTTATTAATTCTTCAGACTGTGTGTTCTGTTCGTGATATTAGTCAGTCGGTCCTTTATTGATTCAGACGGTTTAGTTAAGACTGTAATTAAAATTTTGAGTTCTGTAAAGAAATGATAACCAAATAACACTTTATTCATCAGTCTCGAGCTTTTTCATAAGCCCTTTTTAAGCACAGCACTTTTTTCTTAAAAATAATCCGACTTATTGTGCAAAAGCGGGCACCTCGCAAGCTTGATATTGTTGAGGCTTAACAATTCAATTTCGTGGTTGTTTTTATTCAATCTCCCACAGTATTGTTAACGTGCGCTCTTTGAGAATGCCGATTTAAGACAACTTCCGACTGTCCCAACTTTATAATTATTGCGTACGTGAGGCAATACCTTCGAAAGATGATAGGCCAGCCGAGAATTTGTTGTTATTTGATAACCAACGATAATCCTGTAAAACACGCTTCCTTGTTCCTGCAGGCATGCGCACGTTATCCTTGTATAAGTGTCACGATGCATCCAGTTCGAGTTCAGTGTATGCGGGACAGCCTAAGAAGTCGGCGCGGCGGCGTGAAAACCTTTCAAAAGAACCATTCGCAAAGTTTTGAAAAATTTTGGTAAACAACTCAATGTGAACCTACTTTCGCAAAGACGCTTTTTTTTCTTTTTTGTTCACAAATTGGCTTATCATTTTTTTCGTGCGCACTATTTTAACCATGCAGCATGATTATCGGACTTTTATTACGTTTCCTTGTAGAGCGCTAACAATTGTTTAAAACGAAGTTCTACACAGTGTTTGAGGTAAAGAAGTGTTCCAGAAATGTTGAGAGAAAGTTCATCGTTGTTCAGACTGGGTAATAAAGACTTATTTGTGTCGGCGACATTGTTCAAAAACTTTGTTTCTTTTTTGCCGTTTTCAGATAGATAGTTTTTGCCGTTTATTTTGCTTGCGTTTTTCCATAGCGAAGTTGTCGAGCGCACGTCTCAGAAGTGTAATTATTAAAGCCTTCCCAGTTTGCTGTTTTCTCGCTCAAAATGTTTGGAACTTCTCCAGGAGGAGTTGCGAGGTGTTTAAGTAGATTGGGTCAAGCTGAAACGCTCCCTACGTAGTGCATAGCATATATTTGGGGTATCTGTTAATTGCATCTTTGAGAATGCTTCTATTAAAAAAATGATTTCCCTTATGGATCACCTCTAATACCCATGAGCGCTTTCCGTTTCAATTTAATCATTTTTTTGAAAGCGGCACATTTTTTCAATTACTAACACAGTTCTCTCATTAACCTGTCGGTTTAATCAATAACAAAGTATTTTGTATCGTTTGGGGTGTTTCTATTACATTTTATTTAATTGGAAAATGGTAATGGTTTCGCAGCAAAACAAGAGCGAGTTTTGAGATTTAAATGCTGCTCGTACATTTACAAGGGAAATTTTATCTGAGTGACTCTTAGCTTGAGGTACTTAAAATTCAAATAAGGAGGTTGGAAATCAGGAAATTTGATTGTTGCCTTTGAGAACTAGGTTCGGATTTAGCTATTGAGATTCAAAGAACGGGAATCGAAGCGGACTTTTCTCCATATGATATTCTCCCACTCAATTGAACTCTTACGAACACGATTAAAATATATTTTGTGGATTGGAATAAAGGCAATAATGGCATAAACACATTCAATTTTAATATAATTTACCACAGTTTTTTTGACGTTCGTACTTGATAATTTTTAAATGTTGCACATTATTGTTCCCCGTTATAATTCATAGTCGTATTGAATTGCTACTTGTGACATAATGATATGATTACAAAGGTATAGTGTCTAATATATTAAGCCGCGATATAACCTGCAATATGATAAATTTATATTAACTGATAACAATAATACCAAGCATAAACAACACTGTTCTAATAATATCTCTCGTTACAGTTTTTTGTTAATCAATAGCCTTGGTAAATGATTTACTAGCACAAAATAAGTAGTTTGCGCACAAAACATTTCATGGATGTTAACAACGCAATGACAAAAGTATCACAAAAAATCAACAAATAATCCATAAATAACAAGATCTTGTTTGTATAAATTGTCATTTCTGGAAAAAATATTTACCCGTCTTATTATTCACAAAGTCAGTAATGCGTACTTGACCGATATTAGATCGAATTAACCATTTATTTATTCATCGGTCATAATCTTTATTTGCTAAATTATAACCCCTGCTTTTATTAACAACAATAAAACTCCGTCAATTCCTGTGCGACGATTGCAACGTGATGTTGCAAATAACTTACATTTAAACTTTTTTATTGTGTATATTTATTCTTCGGATCGATATAGGATACAAGTTGCAGACAAAACAGCAATTTTTTATAAGAAGAAAGTAAACGATATTTTTCATTTCGGGTCTTCCGAGTGAAAGCGACGTAATAACGGCCATTTATTCACCACGGTGTTTTATTAAAAATCAATGAATTAAAAGAGAAAAATAACGAGAGACGTGAACATAGTCCAGGAGGGTGAAGCGTGTCGGGCAATGGAAGTATTCCAGAACGTTTAGTCCAAAAAGCTCATCGCATGGGACGGAATTTGCAATGACGCGTTTCCCCCAGTACAGACCCGTTAGGCATACAATCAACGTTGTCGTGCTTTCTGAGTCAGGCTAAGCGTGCAGCGCGTCCTGAATAGTCGCGATTTAGATTTAGGACGAGAGATTCTCTCGTAGAGATTGTTGTTAGCAATGTTATATCGTGGACCGGAGGCTTCTGTGTATTATGCTTAAGATGGTTTCAAGATGCGCAAAATTTCAGTTTTATATTTATAAGAACAACAAAAATACATGAATTAAATTCATCACAAAATGTTTTTAGTTATGAAATTCTTTTAAAGGAGCAAAAAGATGTGAAGCTCTCCCGTGATTACGTCCCCTTGGAAAATTAAGAAAGTCTGATAAATCTATAGGCATTTCAGAAGCACAGGGGACCGACATGAAAATATTCGTAAATTGTACAAGGGGTTATAAATATATATATAAAGCCGCACCTGGAGCGGGAATATAATTTTAGGATATAAATTAACACAAAGCCTTTTGTAAAAAAATATCAAATCGACTGTGGATTGGGTTATCCGGAGAGATGAACATCTTTAAATGATTTTTTACTCGTCGAGCGTAAGCCACCTATTTGATAAATTGCCTATTTTATGTCTTCTTGATCAAACATATGATAGGTAATTGCAAAATTTTGCGAAGTAATTCTATGCACGGATTTTCTTTTTACATTTCTGTCTTTTAGAACTACTTATACGGGATGTTTCAATAAACCTCCTTATCTCATTTTCTTCAAAGTTTAAAGTACGAAAAATAGGTGTCGTGTCTGACTGTCTCGATTTTCATTAAACATATAATTTTGAAACTACCGTACGGATTGTTGTCAAATTTAATAATATGTTACGAATACATACTCTTATACTTGCGGTTTATGAATCCGCCTTAATTTTTAAGTCTAATCTTCTAAATTGAATTGTACTTCAATGGCCAGGGAAGTTCTGTCGAAATAACTTTAGACCAATTCTATTTATGTGTCACAAAATTGTGTTCAATAACGCAAGAAATACTTACGAGTAATCAGCAAAACTGACATTCCAGAGATTTGTGGAATTATACACGTGCTCATATTTGGAGGTGACGCTTTAGATAACTTGAAATGCCAACAATAACCCAGAACTTATTGCTTGATTTGGAGGTTGATTGACGACTCATTAACCTCGTATTTTCCATCAAATAATCATGTTGCCGCTGACATTATAAATATTTCCAACACAGACTGCATCAGTTTTAGTTATCAAATTATCGATCCGTTTAGAACACCGTGTGAAACTGTTTAAAAAATTTATATTTATATTTGTACAGTATTATTTTAGAATGAATTTTGTTGTAGTAGTTGAAAAGAGACGAGAAATGTTTCGGTGTTGTGGGGATAATAGTGTGTTTGATCTAAGATATAATTATATTTATAAACTGATAACACACTTTTTAGTCTCTCTCGCTGTTTTTGGTGTTATCAAATGTTATTAATACAGTGTTTTTTAAAATTCGTAGTCTTCCGGTGTTAATTTTTAACTAAAAGTTCTTTGAAAATGTATATAATGTCTTCTAATATCATTGTCCAAACAAACTAAAAGTTAACACTAGTTAGAACAGTAAATGCGGTTTAATTTCTGAGGAGCAGTGTATGTTTAATTAAAATTTTACAGTTATTTTCTCACATTGTGCTTATTTTCGAACCTAGAAAGCGCTCTTGCAGTAATTTCAAAACTTCGCCTTTTTATTACATTACCCTTAAATAACTAAAATCGTATCGGTTAATTTATAAAATATTTGATCATAATTTCGATAGCATCATTTGAAATTTTATATTATTTCCTATAATCTAATTCCAGTGAAAAGTTTGCCTGTTTGTTGTTTTATGGCTGAATAATTTACTGTCGAATATGTTTCATATCGATTTCATATTTCACAGACGCGTTGTAAATTATTACTCCTACTACATTATGGATAAATTATGCCGGAAAAAGAAATAAAGATGTGTAGTACACTGTAGGGAACATTTCTGTGTCACAGAGTCGTAATTTAAACTTCAAAGTCTCTAGTTCTTAAAAACATTACAAGTAACTGGTCCTTTGTATGTAAATGTTCCAACTTTAATTAACAGATTATTATTTTTATTCAGTAAGTTTTTACGGAAACTAATTAAACTGAAAAGAACTACACAAGATTATTCTAATATAAATAAATCATGAACAATCAAATTCTGAAACGTCGATAAGAAATAAAGATAACAGTTTTTTTTTTCTGGCCAATCAATAGAAATAAAAATAAGTGGATTGATTTGGTAGTGTGGGCTAAATTATGACAATTTAGACAAGGTGCTATCAAATAGAAAAATAAAGTTTTAATGTCCTAAAGTGAAAAGTTAATGACAAAAAATATAGAGACAGTAATAAACTAGGGAAATAAAGTAATAGCCACTTTTGATGTTTCGTAGTTTGTACAATAAGAAAAAGTAGGTCTACCGTTATTGGTTTTTTTCATGTACCTATTTGTCTGTCTGGCTTTCCTGTGTCATCTTCATCTGTTGGCGTTTTGTTAGACAAGTAAATAATTGCTATACAAAATGTGCAAAATATATGTTTCTGTACTTAATCCATCTTAATTTTTTTAATTCAAAACGGTACCACAAGATTTTATAATTTAACTTGCAACAATGGGTACTTTAAATTTTGACATGCTTCAACGTCGTCTCGAAATTTTTCAAAGTCAATCGCATTTAGCTACTTTATCATGTCTATTTTTTTTTAATTTTTTGTACAGGGTATCTCAAAACATTCATGAATAAAGCAATATATTTTTCTGATTAAATCAAAAGCCGATTGTTTCATTTCCCCGGAAAGCATTGGCATTAACTGGTATAATAATTCACTCTATTTTTATTTAATTTACAGGGATAATCTAACAGAAAATAAAGTTGGGAGATTTAAAGTTTATAACTTATTTAAGAAACTGAAATTGTTTAAATAATTGTGCTTTAGAGGCGGGGGAAGTTCTGTCTAGACAACTTTCGACTAATTTTTACTTCCCGAGTGTAAGCTAAGGAAGTATTGTAACTGAGTCCATTGGGTGAATAGCTACTTTCGTGTATTCTCAACATTTCACGACCCGCAGAATAAGAAAGCATAGGTTTCTCGTTTAGTAGTATCTGTCTGTTTGCCGTCTATCGTCTAGCTCTGTCCGCGTCTGTGTCGATTTTTATTAGACACATACTTTTCTAAACTACCGGACTGATTGTTGTCAAATTGTAGATGAT